GCATCAAGGGTAAGGCGTAGCAAACGTGCCCTATACGTCGAGAGATGGCGCAAGAGGAGAGGCGCCGGGCGAGGGCTCTACGTGCTGAGACCGCTGCGTCGAGGGAACATTGTCGGTCCTTTTTGCCAGAAGTCATGTCAACCCGAGGAGGGAAGTATTGATCCGACTGCTACTGCAGAAGTCAGGAAATCATGCGGCAGGTTGAGAGGATCAGCCACATTTCTAGGAAAAGTCATCATGAAAACTCACCTACCCTCACGAGGATCGAGAACAGAAGATGGCTTCCTCCTTGGGAACCGGGAATATGTAATCACATGTAAAGGCCTATAAATAGAACCAACGAGACCCAGAAAAGGGTTAGACACCATTGGTATTACAGAGAGAAAACTTGTAAACATCTGAGAAAATAGTGCATGCACAAGTGGATTAGGCACAAAATTATTGCCGAACCACTGTAAAATCGTTGTCTCTTCTACATTATTTTTTAGCTTATTACTTGATTCAGTGGTTAGTGCAACCGTGAGCGTTTCTGGAGAGGTAATTACGAGTTGTTGGAAAAACACCGTGACATTTGATAACAAGCATATGACAATCCATTATTCCATTTTACGCGCTGAAGATTGAAACTGGTCGACTATGGCAGCAACTAAGATAAGAACCGCGTCTTTGATCTTTCTATCTGCTGAGAAACGACGATTTTATGTTCAACCTGTCAAGAAGCATACGGGTTCGGGTTGGATTAGGAAATTTCGGGTGTCAACCCAACCCACTCCGCCGTGGTAATGGCATCTCTAACTCATTTGAGGTCTTGAGTTTGAGGTTCCAAAAGTGGCAAATTATACTAAGTAGAGACAATTCGAAATTGTCTGTTAAATTCCAGTCAACGACATTCATTTTCATGTCGTCTCCAAATAATACCCTTTTTTTTTTTTTTTGGTAATTTCTTATCAAAGACATTTTTACTTATTTCTGTTCTCTTCTTTTTTTAAATTTCTTCCGTTTGGTTGATAACAGAGACACCGGAATCATTGGATCATTGTCATAATTCTTATTAGAATAATTATCTATTTAATGTAAATGTTATAGCTATACCAATATAGTAGTGAAAAAATTATTTCACGACATGGTATATGTGAAGCTGTCATTTTTCACATATGGAAGTAGAACAATGGCCACAGCCTAATGAATCAAATAACTTAGTTGCAAAATTCAGACATTAATTCTTTGGAAAACCTAAAGTTCAATCAAGCTTCTCTTAGCCAGCTTGGAAAAACTAAACTTGGGTTAAATTTTGTGCAATTTATATCATTTTGGTTTGGTTTCTGTTGTCGTTAGTTTTGGTTTTCTTTATATATATACATACATAAATACATACATACATATATATATATATATATTTAATTGAGGTTTCTTCGTTCTTTATTTATGGGTTTCTTTAGTTCGAGTTTAATTGTCTATAAAACTTTCTTTCTGTACAAATTAATGAGATTTTTTAGAGCATTAGAGAACAAGAGATGTTGTTAAAGAGACTTTAGAGAACATATATAATATTATTGCATGATCTATATCACGTTCGTTGCTACTCATATTCATGTTTGAATCTTCGGAATCAATTCTTGTGGTTTGGAAAAAGTGGGACATACATGCGGAAAACTGTCCAGTATCCCACGAGGTGAAAGTGGATAATTGTGATCAAAAATAGTCATTGTGTTCACTAATATCAGAGCTAATCTCTGAAGGCTGAACTCTTTTTTGTTCCTTCTGCAATCCTGTATCTCTGTGTACTCAACGGTAGTACTAATGGACTTGAGAAACAGGGGCTTTTAACTGAAATTAAAGGGGTTGTTAAGTGTAATTTGAGTGTAGTTTTTGAGTTGAATTTGAGTTATAACTTGAGTTGAAGTTAGAACTTGAATAAAGTTGAGTAAAATTAAATAAAGTTAAAACTTAAAAGAATATGAACTTAAATAAAATTGAAACTTGAGTTGTCTTTTTTTTAAGTTTTATGGACAAAAGAACATGCAAGTCTCTCATATGTTATGCTTGATAGCCCAAGACAGAAAATAAAGTTCATTTTTTCCACTCTATTAAGTGAAGACTTTGGATGGAAAACTTTTTGTACTTACTTCAATAGTTAAATTAATTTTAATTTTTAATAACGGACAATATAAGCAAATAGTTTAACACAATTTTTTGAATATTTTACACATTTGTCTCTTAAACTTGTGTGGATTTAGTAATTTGTCCTGTGAGCTTTTAATTTTGACAAATTATCTTTCTAATTTGTAAAATTATTACAATATACTCCTTTTTAACATGATTATGTTAATAAGTGTCAAAAAGCACATTTTAACATCTGAATTCAAATGTAACATAAATTTTTTAATTCCTTAACTTTTAATCCATTAAATGTAATAAAAAATGTGAACAAATTTAATAAAGTGGGATACATTACAATAATTTTATAAATTCAGATCGATTATTAAAATTAAAAATTTAAAAGATGATTTACTAAAATACGGGGACAATTGTGATAAAAAACCATGTTTTTCTTAATCACCCATCCGATGCTGAATTAATGGTTTAATCCTTGTATTTTGTTCTAATCTATTGTCAAATCAACTTTTCCTTTCACTTACTTGATGGAAGGGACATTTCTGTTAACATTTTAAAGTTCGAGGGATTGCACACGATACCTTTTAAAGTTCGGGTGCAAGATGAAAAAGCCCAGGAAGTTTTTTTTTTTTTTTTTTTTTTTAATTTATCCAAAATTGCAAATGACAAGAATACGTTTTGAGAACCTACTCAGTGAGGAGCCAAGTGTTGTCGGCCATGGCGGCTTCGAAGATGGTAATGGCTTCTTCTCTGACTCACTTCCGCCGTCTAACGTGCGCCGCCACCGATTCCTCAGCGTCTTATCCTGCGCGGCTGGTGCCACAGCCACCTGATTTGATCAAGTGGGTCCGGAGACAAGGAGGGTTCGTTCACCACTCACTGAAGATAGCCCAAGACAGTACCAATGGTCTTGGACTTTTGGCTTCTGACGAAATTCCAAAAGGGTCTGATCTTATTGCTCTTCCTCATCATATTCCCTTGAGATTTAGCCCTCTTGAATCGGACGGGTGAGATGAGTCTTCCTTCGTTTTGGTCAATTTGCCTCGCCAAGTTCCCGGTAGGTCTAT